AACCACATCACTATTAGGACCATATTTCATTTGTCAGAAAAGCGGCATTTGAAGCTCAGTGCTTGACTTACCATTTTGTCCCTTCCCCGTTTTTTCTTACTTTCATTGTTGGGAGCTGGAGGTTATATTTGCTGGCTAGTGTCAATTCCTTTTTATTCTATGGCACCGGTGCTATATTTCTAATGTATTTGACATGTATTTGCAAGAACCATTAGGCCTACTCGCCATCAGGTGCATAACTCTGATATCTCTACTCCCCATGTGCAGTGAGCCAGAGATTGATATATTTGAATCAATTGATAGGAAAAGGCGTGAAGAAGAGATGGTAATCATGCCAGTACTTTATTCCAGGCTATTTAATTCTCTCATTTTCTGGATGGATATCCTGCTAATCCGGTTGAAAAGTTATTCACCCAATTAGTTTATCATCATTTACTAATTCACGCTTGGTAATGCAGGAAGTCTGGAAGAAGTTGTGTTCAGAAAGTGTAACACAAAGTTCAGAGCCCATTCCTCCTTTGCCCTCTCGGCTTCTTACTGATGAAGACTTGAAACCATTTTATGAAGCAATGAAAATAAATGATAAGCCAGCTGTGGCTCCTAACCCTGGGTTAAAACGGAAAGGTGAGAGTCTTGGGGGCCTTGATATCCAACATTATGGACGTGGAAAAAGAACAAGAGAGGTTGGTTATACTTTTGGAGACTGCAGGCACTTGCAACCGTATTTTTTTTTATCAATGCTTATACTATCTGTAAAATAATTTATTATCCATTAATTTGATCATTTTAATTATTGTTCTTCCTTAGGTTCGCTCATATGAAGAGCAATGGACAGAAGAGGAATTTGAGAAAATGTGCCTTGCTGAGTCTCCTCAATCACCTATTCCAAGGGAAGAAATTCAGGAAAAGAAATTGCTTCCAGTCTCTGGCAGTTGTCCTGCTCCTGTTGTTGCCATTGGTGAAATACAAACACCAGCACCGGATCAATCTCCTCCCCAGCAGCCTGCGCAAGAACTTCCCCAACAGCCTGCCCAAGAACTTCCGCAACAGCCTGCACAAGAGCTTCCCCAACAACTTGTTGGGCCGATAGTTCAACAAAGCCCTGTGACCGTGACTCCGCCATCTAAACGGGGCCGCGGAAGGCCAAGGAGGACAGCAGTAGTGACTGAAATCTCACCGTCCCCTGTCGTTCTTTCAGCAACCGCAGCTGTAAAGGTGGATAGCATATCAGTTGCAGAAAATACTTCTACCAGTCAGGCAACTTCTGGGCCTGTTTCTGTGTCCATTCCTTGTGCTTCCTCTGTGGAAAGTACCAGTGCAACTATCCTAGAGAGTGCTACTGCTGTTGCTCCTTGCCATCAGCCAGTTGTTCCTTCTGTTGCTTCTCTGTCTGGTCCTCCTTGTCCTCCTACAAGTGGGCAGGGTAGGGGACGAGGTAGAGGGCGAGGTCGAGGTCGAGGGCGAGGTCGGAAGGTTGAAAATGGAGGAGAAGCTCCAGGGCGTAGAGGAAAACGACAGAGTGTTACAACAGAGGCGTTTCTCTCCCCTCCAACTCAAGCAATAAGTGAGCCTGTCTCGGCAGCACAAGGTGTGAATGTTTTGAGCTCTTCAAGTCACCATATGCCTCCAACACCTCCCTCAATGGGAAAGCCTGATCTGGT